TTAGATATTAAGATTTCAACCTATCAGAAACCGTGTATTCCGATGTAATCAGTTTCTGATAGGCTAAAATCTTAATATCTAATTCCTGTTTCTCTATTGTGCTCAGGCCCTAACGCTGATGTTATAACTCCTACTTAAGCGAGTCGCGTTTAGACGTTCAGGAACGTTGATGTTATAATTTCTACTATATCGAGTTTCCTCAGTTTTCCAACTTTCGCGCTTTTTCGTTTCCATATTATTATCTTATTTTTTTAACCTATGTGTTTACGCGGCTCGATTTACGTCGAAATTATAACCACCGACGTCCTTTTTTTATGTCGATGTTATAACTCTAAGCCTCTTCATCAAATGACTTTGAGTTACTACATCGAATAATTCCGTCTTAAAATAGCGTTTACACAGCATCTAACGTCAGTAATAACATTGATGTTATAACTTCAGCGTAAATCGAGCCGTGTAAACGTAGTCCATGATAAAATTCTTAGATTTTAACAAAAAAGAGAAATTCTGAAAAAAATGAGGAAAATACAGGATTGCACATTTTATAATAAATATTTAAAGAAGCTACTAATAGGAATTTATAAAGAATAAAATAATAAAATACTTCTTGCATATACAGTTAATATCTGCAGATCAATGTATATTACTCATATATAAATTATATCCTTATAATTATTAGAACTTTTTCATATTTTTCCATTAAAAATACAAATAATTTTATTAATATAACATTCGAGAAAACTTCAACAATCGTTGCTAAATACAAATGTACAATAAATACTATCAACACTGGTTTTATAATCAAAAATACAAATACGTTATACCTTAGCACAAATATAGTAAATAACATTTAAAAAATTGCATTTATAGTCATTTAGTATCCATAATCTATATTTATGTACATAATATTCTTACAGCTTACAGTAAATTGATGCTTGAGTAAAAATAATCTTAGACTACGTTTCAAAACTTCCTCTCCGAAGATTTTACTCTATATGCTGTAGTATACGTTATGTGTACCATATATTTCGAGTAAAATTTTCCCCGGAAAGGAAGTTTTGGAACGTAGCCCTAAATAGCTACAAAGATTATTATCTTTTTCATAAGCATTGATAGTAATTGTGATGAAAACTAATAAATATATATAAATGGCATAAATCACACAATTACAATCATAAATACATTATACTAATCTTTGGAATGTCTAAGTAAGGTAAATTATCACCAAAAGAATTACTATACAAGTGAAGGTCATACCGGCAACTAAAATAAATCCATCTTGCTTAGCTCGTTGCTCTATAAGCCTCATAGTAGTATTGGACAGACCCAAAGTATTACCAATGTCTATCAAACGTTTGTGGGCTCCCTTTAACGTTATTCTCTGAGATCTCAAGTTATCCAAAACGTTGCTGCCTTGGTGCAATAGGTCATCTATACCATGGACAGCGTTGTGCAAGCTGTTATTATGCTGCACAGTGTGATCAATGAAGATGTCCACGTGGTCATTAGTGGTAAACTTCCTGGCCAGTAAAGCCTCTCTCTCTGCCTCCTCTCTCTGTTGCCGCATCACGCGATTGTACCAGGAGCTCAAGGCGGCGCTGAGATGACGACTATCATACTTGAGCTGATCCACTCTCATCCTGTTGTTCTGCCTTTGCGACATTGGACCCTTGAGGCATAGTACGTCGAGTCGTTCGCAATTACTGATCAAATCATACAAATTTAGTGGTAAGCAACAACAATTTTCAAATAATATCATGACTGATTCTAACTACCTGTTGATAAGAGTGATTTTGTCCTCGATAGTTTGCCTCACTTCCTGCAAATCCGTGTCGGATGTCTTTCTCTCGAGCTGCGAGAAAATATGCTGCGTTTCTTGTATTAATTTATTGGTTTGGTGATACAACGCCTCCATTTCGTTTGCACAAAAAAGATTTTGATTGCTAATGTCAATAATTCGTGTCCAAATAATCTCAAATTCGCATTTTGCAAGTAAAAATTTACGAAGTACGATCACATTGGATCACATCAGCAACGACCAATGACGTGTACTAACCATGGAACATGAAATTTACAGAGTTGATACTTCGATGCATCCAGATGCGCAACCGCTCACTGCGTTTTTTCATTTGATTGGTACATTCTGTTAGATCCTAAGATATAGACCAATCAGATGAAAAAGCTTTCTGAGCGCTCGGTAAGCGGTTGTGCATCTGGATGCATTCAATAGTGAATAGGTAATTACAATTATAATTAAAAGTCACTACATGATTCACAGATTAGGTTAATCGGCCGATTAGTCCAATGGAATTATCCAATCGCATTTATCATTTCGTTTGACAGTAGATGCGATTGATTAATTCCAACGGACTAATCGGCTGATTAAATTAATCAGCAAATCGTAAAGTGACTCTTATCATTCTAGTCTATTTCTACTAATGTAGATTATTCTTAAAACTATAAAAAGATGAAGTTAGTTGAACCGATATTAAAGTTAAACTGTATTGATAGAAATGGATATTAGTGTAATTTTTAGTTACAATTTAGGGGAGGATCCCGTTTGCCTACAGTTCTGATTGTACACACCACTCATATTAACTGGTGCCTAG